TAAAAACCGTAAGAGGTAACAAGTATGTTCATATGGAGGTACACTTAGGGGCAGGATCGAGAGGTTACGCAACCATTCACGAATGTTTTACTCTATTTCGTACATCTCAGGTGCCAGTAAGGGGCTGGGGCCGTAGGGGTTGGGAATGTTTGCTCGATAGCTAGGGTCTTGGCGGGGGAGAGGGACATGATGAGACGGAGGGCTGGTTCACTCACCATCTGCCATCATTGTAGCGTCCGTTCCAAATGGATCAATAGGGGACGAAGCGATATTGGATGGGGATAGCCTCCTCTTCTTTACGACCTGAGGATTAACTTGAGGATCTGAACATGGAACGTCCAAAATTCTTCACAGGAAGACTCAAGCACATCAGAGTTGGGCGTTAGGAGGTGGAAAGAGTGTAGGTAGGTGCCGAAGATAAAGTTTATTGTAACAGAGTTTATAAACGTGTGTAACGTCAGTAGAAAATGAATAACGAATTGAACATAGGAATCAACAAGGTAGATGACATTAAGGAAATATGTACATGCATCAGGGTAAAGGGTTGACCCGGAAGAAGACAAAGGGTGCAAAACAAAATGTAACAATGATCAACGAAACAAAAACATGTAACAAACAAGGGTGGGACTTATCGGGTACACAGATCAGTGGCTTTGATCGTGCCCATGTGGTGAGCTTGGTCCGGGGTTCTCTAAAAGATGAGTATTCACTTGATTATTAAAACAAGGTCAGACCCCTATGCTCTATTTGGGCTGTTACACATCCCCATTGATAAGTTCGAAAGACAATTAGGCGAGCACACGTCTGCTTTCGATGAATTCTCTTCAGGCCTGTAGACTGACAATTGTGTTGGGCAGTGAGGAGGAGGCTAACTTACTTCTGTCCAGGAAAAGCGACCTCCGAAACTCTTACAAGAAAGTTTTTTCAGCTGGACTAGTCTCCAGCGGAACGTCTGAAACGCCGCGAATCAGTGACGGAGCTGAAGGGGAGACTTGTAGCGGGAAGGAGGAACTTGGCTATTTTCAGTGAACGAGTGATACAGAGGGATGCGATGATCCTCTGTAACCAACCAGTCATCATGATTGCGGCAGCAACATTATATTGGCAAACCCGAGACGAATTAAACGAATCACTGTCGAACGTTTCAAACTTAAATTCTTTTACACCAATGCGCAGAGTCTGTTTTCCAAGCTTGACCAACTGAGAATACAGGTAACCGATATGCCTCCGGATGTTATCGCAATAACAGAAACGTGGCTGCCACAGGACGTCGGTGATTGCGAAGCAGCATTAACAGGATACCAACTGTTCAGTGGAAACAGGAGAGACCGCCAGGATTGAGGAGCTGTTATGAAGGTCAAGAGCAACTTAACAGCGTGCGAGAGGACCGACAAGATTTCCGACGACACAGAGGCAATTTGGCTGACTATAAAGGCACGAGGGTCTCAGTTCCTCGAAGCCGTAACTATCTACCGGGCCCTCAGGCGGATCCCAACCCAAATAATTGTCTACTGGAAAGCATAAAAAAGATCGCCAGTCGACCAGACGCTGTTCTCACGGGGGATTTTAATTACTCCTACATTCAATGGAGCTATATGCATTCGAAGTGCTCGAAGTACGCCTTCGATTGCCATCTACTAAAGTTCTTTTCATAAAACATGTCCTGTTTACAACTAGAGCGCGTGGAGAGCAACAGGTCAGTTGTCTAGACCTCGTCTTCACCAAAGATCCTGACAGTATAGACCAGGTGCACTGCCTACCTCCGCTCGGTCGAAGTGATCACGCAGTACTTATATGGGAGTACGAGCGGTACTCTGAACCGTATACAAAAGACGATACGAGGCCAAATATATGGAAAGGGGACTTTTGGCAAATGAGAGCTGAGGCATCATAAATAGGCCGGGATGTTCTCTTCTCCGGAAACGTTAACGAGGATTGTAATTAATTCAAGGATCGGTTGCTGCATCTAACGAAGAGCCACTGTGCCTTATCAAAACCTAGGACATCCAAACGACCTCAGTGGCTAACGCGAGATCTCACAAAGGAGATCAGCAAGAAGGGAAGGTTGCGGAAGAAGTTTTGCGAAAACAATGACAGTGCAGCGTTTACAGAGTATGAAGTTCGGCGTGAATACAGCGTCGCAACACGTAAGAAAACGTTTTTCCCCGTCTACCTGTCTTACGGGAATGGTGGTAGGAGGGGTTGTACGGCTGGGGGCTCTAACACGTGCCAAACAGCAAGAAATATAAATCGTGATATTTAAAAAATTAAGTTTACACCAAAATATGTTTAAATGAACCAAAAGAACCCCATAAATGACATTCAGACTGAGAACGCAGCCTTTGAGGAGGTAGGACGAGACCTAGCACACTATGCGTTGACGCTTTTGGTCGGGTTAGAACGTAAACCGTATTGGCCTGCGGGCCGACCAATCGGCTGGTGTGAGTGTGTGTGTGTTACTCGCGCTGTGCAGGGGAAGTTCATGGCTAAGGTTTCGCCGTTTCCGCTGAGAAAGGCAAGGGCAAGGGGACATCGGTTGCGCGATGGCGGTTAAGGTCAAAGGACGCCATTGTGCCGTCCACCGTAAGCATACAACTTTCATGACGGAAGACCGAGCAAGCGGTAGATTATGTAAAGCAAGTTCGCTAACGTTGGTGTGGCTTTGAGCAGGTAGGACGGGAATGTCGCATGTAGTATGCTGTATTGGGAGGCATATCGAACCCTAGGAAAGGGTTAGCGGGGACTGTATGAAGTGGGCATTTTAAAAATATGATCATGCTCACTCCTAACCTGCCTACACGCTGGTTAATAAAGTAACTAACTAATGCAGTAGGAAAAATGATTGGGGAAGTATTTGGCAGGACGTAAGTAATAACCTTAAGGAAGGTCAGTCGAAAAAAAAATTGTTGACGACATGACTGCTATAAGATTTAATTGAATAACAATACCAGACATTTAATTTAATTTAAGATATTAAATGCCAGTTTACAGGCATTGTCGAGGGAAGCAATTAAACACAAATCC